ATTCATGGTGAGTTCTAATATAGCATAATATCATATTTAGATTCCATGCAATAGTCCGTTAAATTTTTAAAACAAAACTTAGGGCACTAGTCCTTCCTATCCGTTAGCAGCGTACAAAGTCGCTTATTTTTACACTGTTTATTCCATTTGCCCTATGAACCAAAATATACAATTAGAGGAATTAAAAACCCTTGAAAATACTTTTAGAATTCTCATTCCAGTCCCTAAAACCATTTAGAATTTCAAACTTAGCCCAAATAGTGCCCAAACAGCTCCAAAATGCATCCAAACGTGTCTTAACCAAGGGAGCCTGCTCTAAAATAAAAGAGCAGGCTATATTCTACCCAGAGCCAGCTCCCTAACCCCTTAGAGCCGGCTCTAAGAAGGGGGAGATGGCTCCCACAATTTGGAGCCCTCTCTCTCTCACTTTGAGCCTTCTCCTCTGCTCCAAACTCATCTCTGCTTCGTTCGGTTGCCTTCTGTGCTTCCGGCAAAGCTTCCCATCCTATCCCCAAACCTTTGTAGCATCTTTAGAACTCTATTTAAGTTTCTTACAGTCCTAGAACCCCTCATACTCCAGTGTAAATCAATCGACAGAAAGTAAACTCGCAACAGAACAGTTTATGCAACAATAAGTTTAAACTTTAAAAAAAACGCAGAACAAATTACAGAAAAACATCTATCATGCATAGAGTCCGTTTTTAAAAGTTTAATTACGTTCCTGGAGTCTATATAAGATACACAGAACACAAGTTTACAGGAGAGGAATAGATTGAAACTTGCCTTAAGATTCCGGTTTGAAATCTTCATCGTCGTCTCTAAGTTTCAGAGCTTCTCCAAGACTGTTCATTCCTCTAATCACTGCTCCAGTTCAATCTCACAGTAAACCATTCCTTCCTCCTTGATACGACCTTCAGTTACATTGCTGAAAGCCTTTCCCCAGTTTTCCTTTCATGTTTTACCCCTCCGCCTCTCTGTTTCTCTTTTTCTCTAGTTACGGGAACATAGATTGTTTTTTTTTTAAAACCCTTGCCAGACCTACAACTTATATATATATAGGGTCCATTAAAACCCTAATCCTAATTTCCATGACTCATTATTTGACGGCCATACCACATAAACCCTAAACTTAATTTATAAACCATATAAGCCATATATAACACACGTCAGTTAAAACCAATTAATCAATCAATTAAATTAAAACAAATAATCAATTACTTTAAAATACCAATTAATCATCCAATTAAATTAAAACAAATAAGCAATTAATTTAACACAAAAACAATGCTAATTAAACATATAGCCAAATACTCACACAAAACACAAAATCCAAATAATTAAATAAAAATGAAAACAAAATTCAAAGAAAATTTAATTTAAATTCCAACTATATCCTTTTAAATATTAGGGGTATTACATTCTTCCCCCCTAACAAAAGGAATTTCGTCCTCGGAATTCACGAATCTCTGAATTCTTTTATTTTAAATTCAGTTCCATTCCGTTGTAGATTTTGCCGCTATGTACGGGCTCCACTGAATTCCATATCCTTAGAGAAAATTTTATGGTACCATTAGTTAATAAATACCAAAAACTATCCTTATGTTGTATTACGCAACAAATTATCCTTACTCAATATTCACATCAGGACACTAAGTTCATAATCCTTTAAGTGCCATAGAGTACACATAAAATTCCTACACATGCAACGTTGAACATTTTGGTTATGTTGAACTATAGGCTATTGCCTAAATAGATACACAAAATTGATGAAAAGTCAATTTAATACGTAAAACTGACTTTCCTCCACAAACCACGTTGCTTTCTATATGGAAGACATCCCAACCAACCATTTCCAGATAGGAACTCAAAGACACGAGTTCAACCATTTACTAAATTCGACTACCGCCTTCAAACCACGTGCAATCCCCTACAAAAGAGAGTACGTCTCTCCGATGTATCCTTAAAGATGACAAGGTCTTATTATATACCCTCGCTTCACGTCAGACCAACCAGTGAGAGGTCTGTACAACATACTATCCCAAAATCCCAAACATTGTCGCACTAACCCCCTTGTACCAACAACATCACAGATAATAACTGAAAAGCTAAGTAACGCTTTCAATGACCCATGCCAACCTAGGATATATATCCTAAGCATATTTGCCATGATCCAATATTATAGTGCGATTAAATCTCCTATTTAGAGATGCGAAGCATAGTTGTTGCTCCAACACGTTCAAAGACTTCATTGCTATAGCAGTGTTTAATCTTTATAAGAGATAACCACCTACTATAACTCCGTTATTAGTGCAATGTAGAACTGACATAACACGCCAAAACAACACCACTCACAATGATGTCCACCATCGAACTTGCTTATCCACAACTCTTAATCCATATGGAATTAAAATTCCAAACAATGTCGGTACTTTCTACCAACCATCTACCTCCTGATTAGTCCTACTTCCCTGTTGATATAGGAAGTGGCTAAAACCTCCAATGATATTCGAGCCTCAATTTTCCACCTTGTTAGCAGGTGATACACTTTGAGACAGTGATGTTCATGTCTCTATTCGTACCGTCTCACCAAGACGAATCTGGTAAGTCGTGCTGTAACTCTTATCCATTTGACTGCACCGTAAAATTTATGAATTTTACATCTCAGTCACTCCGACCATCCGGGAATCAGTAAGACATCTACCAAGCCTTCTTCAGTACCTTAAACTCCTCTGAGTAAAGTACGACTTCCTATGGGGTCAGCTCAAATATTCTAAGTTGACCGCCTCACTTTCCCTGGTAATAACAAGCGTTAATATTTTCCATATGCTAAAACTCAATTACCTTCTCAGCTGATAAGATCATCCTCCTCCCTATTACTTTCACCAGATGAAGCTTAATGCAAAGTGTGAATCACCACATCTATCCATCCAAGCCATTTCGTAATTCGTGCCATTTGTAGGAACTGATATCTTACTAGTTCCCAAAATAGACAAAGTGAAGCTGATTTAATTTTATCAGTCAACCGATATCCCAACCAGAATCCTGACCCTTGTGTAGAATCAGAAATCTCTCACCCAGATCCGTAGAAACTACTCTGCCAGTCCCGCTCTATCATGAGAAGTGGCCGTAAGGATATAATGATCTCTGACGGTCCATCTAGATTATTTACCAGACATCAGACTTTGAGACATATATTAGATGTTCGGTCTCATCTTCAAGTCTTTACATCTTACTTTTCTAACACAAGTAAGAGTCTATTAGACATCCCGTCTAACTGCAACCGTATATGGAAATCTTTTCATCCTCCAAATAGTTAACAATTTCCGAGCAACAACTACTTGTTGCGAACGGTAACCAAAAAAAATATATATATATTTCCATATTATTTATGTAAATGAGTGGCTCTGCCTTCTCTTTGATATGCATCTCCAGCACCCCCTCCTAATGACACTCCCTGATGAAAAAAAATTCTTGTTTAAGAATTGACTGATGACTAGTAAATCCGTCTACTATCCTCAGTCGGTGTCATTCCAACAAGTACTTAAACCAGTACCAAAATCCTCCTACTGACTTAGCAACACCTATTTAAAATTTTCCTAGAAGATATTCAGCCAAGCCAGTTCCTCCGATAAACCAGCATGACATTACAGCTTATCAAATGAATCTATATCATTTGACTTAAATTGTTGGTTTTCTTATCCCATCCTGAACACATACTATAACCACGCATGTCTAGGTTCATTAGATTGGCTAAAGTTAGATATACTTACCAAATCCTATGATCACATACCTAAAATCCTAGCGTAATTAACGCTATTCCTCTAAAATGGTAGTTAACTGATCACTCACTTGTGTCCCCAACTAAACCATATTCCCAATCCTGAATACTTGACGAAAAAGAAACACATAAAGCACACACAATAAAACACAATAAACCCCTACGTAAAACATCGTTCCTCCTAGCAAAGAAAATCTCTTTTAGAAATCAACTTTACCCGATTGGTTCACAATCTCCTTTCTACAGTTTCGGAGGTAATCATCCAACCTCGAAATATAGCTCAAAACAAACTCCATTTGCCTCAGCAAATGCCAAAGGCTTAACCTTCATCCTCCTTATACACAGAATACAAACTGTCTAATGTAGCTGTATAAAGCAACTTAGATCGTCAAAACCTAATCCCCCTACTTCCCGGAACGTGCTATATAATCTTTGCTTCGTTCTGAGAAGAACTCCATCCGATTCCTAAACCCCTAAAAAGTTCCCTTTATCTACCTCGTTTAAAGGTAAAACACAAGGTTAGCTATCCACCTCAACTTTATGAGTATTGTTCACTATACTATTAGCGAACAAGATCACTTTCACGTGATCCTTGATTTTCAACATTCAATACCTTCTTTCTTGGGTATGTTGAAATCTCCTCCACTAGAATCCTCTTTGGACTCCTATTCCTTGGTTGTCTCCTTTATGAGAACAACTGAAATCGTGTTAGTCCCTTTATACGGCGACCTAAAACACATTCCTATATCCCTCATTGGCTTATACTTCGAAAAGTAGCGCCAACCGGAACTAAACCTTTAATCCCAAGTTCTGCTTCTGATAGAGAACTCGATAATGTACTCCTCTACTTCGTCGGGTCGGATTCGCTGTCGCCTTCGACCCCATCCTCCTTCTAGTGTCAACCATTCCATAATTATGGAATATAATTGACATCAGCTGCTCTTCCTAACGAACCGTAACAGAGTACAACGAATCCTGATATAGCTCTAAGTTTTTAAGAGACGCAACGCGGAAAACTTCTAATGAAAGACACTCTTAAGGACACTAGAACCTGGAGAGCTCTGATACCAACTGTGATACCCCTCGTTTCTAGAGCCACGGGTGATCAAGTCCGAGCACAGATCCGAGGGATACCAAACAATCAATATGTAAACAAGCAGGAATAAAACTGAAGTAAGATTTAAATAACAATAAACAGAAAGAAAACTAATATGAAAACCCTCAAACCTTAAATAATAATTTAATATAATTTAAATCTGTACAACTCGGGAATCCACCTGGTAGACCCCTAAATACAAATCTTTAGATAAATTTACAGAATTAAAATCCAAAACCATAATAGGAACGAAATCCTATGTAACCGGTAGAGTGAGTGTCTGTATCTGCATCAACACGATCAAACTATAAGCTGGAACTGGCGAATACCTGAAAAATAGGAGTGGGTCAGGCCTACATGCAAGTTCCAATCTACTACAATCCGTACATAAACCCGATATGCAAATACATCCTAGATAACTCGGTAATATCTACAATAGTCCATAGATATATAAATACACACTATAGGATGCTCACTAACCTATAACATAGTTCAGCCTGGGTAGAAGGTGACATATAAAACACGCTTTCCAGCGGCCAAGTACTTAGACCTACTAGGGAACATTAGCTATATCCAGCTACTCAACCTTTACGATATACACACCCAACCGTGATCAGGAGACTCAAGCTATCACGGTACCATAATATATATATATAAATTCCTTCCTAGTGCAGAAAGATAAAACAAATATCCATTATGTCGTTCAACTGTTTTAGTTGACAGGACATGCATCCATGTAGGATTTAACTGTTTTAGTTAATCCATTCCTTATGTATGAAGGGGTAGGACTTAGCTTTTTTGATCTAATCCATCCCTGATATGTCACCGTCCCATACCGGTACATATAATGCAAATAATCCTAGAATAATGCAACATTTTCAATAGTTCATCAAATCATACCCACGTAATCTAAATAGTTGATATACAGAGTTTAAACAGTTCATCAACTTGCAATCCAGAATCCATCAATGTAATTAATAAGACAAAGTTTAATAATTCATCAAGTTAAGATCCAGTATCCATCGATGTCATTGATAATTTAATTCATTTAATTAAATTTCAACTAACCCATAGTACAGTCCAGCAGTTGACAATATTAACAATAGTAAGAGTCAATTATAAAGCTGAGAATGCCAAACTATAACTCAGAAAAATCCATAGTACTAACCAATAGTTGCTGAAACATAAAGAACAGTTTAACCATTAAAATAACAATCTCCATTTAATTAATGGAACCTAATTTATTAGTTCCTTAATTAAAATCCAACCTATGCACAAATAAGGTCTAATAAATACATGACCCTATTCTGTATCTTACATAGATTTTAGAACCATCCTCCAGTCATCTAAGTTGCTAAATTAAATTTACACAACTAGATACTTTACAATCGCCAACAATGTGCGTCATTACTTACCACACTATGAAAACCCTTAGCATATTAGGATAAATTATTCATGGTGAGTTCTAATATAGCATAATATCATATTTAGATTCCATGCAATAGTCCGTTAAATTTTTAAAACAAAACTTAGCGCACTAGTCCTTCCTATCCGTTAGCAGCGTACAAAGTCGCTTATTTTTACACTGTTTATTCCATTTGCCCTATGAACCAAAATATATAATTAGAGGAATTAAAAACCCTTGAAAATACTTTTAGAATTCTCATTCCAGTCCCTAAAACCATTTAGAATTTCAAACTTAGCCCAAACAGTGCCCAAACAGCTCCAAAATGCATCCAAACGTGTCTTAACCAAGGGAGCCTGCTCTAAAATAAAAGAGCAGGCTCTATTCTACCCAGAGCCAGCTACCTAACCCCTTAGAGCCGGCTCTAAGAAGGGGGAGATGGCTCCCACAATTTGGAGCCCTCTCTCTCTCACTTTGAGCCTTCTCCTCTGCTCCAAACTCATCTCTGCTTCGTTCGGTTGCCTTCTGTGCTTCCGGCAAAGCTTCCCATCCTATCCCTAACCCTTTGTAGCATCTTTAGAACTCTATTTAAGTTTCTTACAGTCCTAGAACACCTCATACTCCAGTGTAAATCAATCGACAGAAAGTAAACTCGCAACAGAACAGTTTATGCAACAATAAGTTTAAACTTAAAAAAAAACGCAGAACAAATTACAGAAAAACATCTAGCATGCATAAAGTCCATTTTTAAAATTTTAATTACGTTCCTGGAGTCTATATAAGATACACAGAACACAAGTTTACAGGAGAGGAATAGATTGAAACTTGCCTTAAGATTCCGGTTTGAAATCTTCATCGTCGTCTCTAAGTTTCAGAGCTTCTCCAAGACTGTTCATTCCTCTAATCACTGCTCCAGTTCAATCTCACAGTAAACCATTCCTTCCTCCTTGATACGACCTTCAGTTACATTGCTGAAAGCCTTTCCCCAGTTTTCCTTTCATGTTTTACCCCTCCGCCTCTCTGTTTCTCTTTTTCTCTAGTTACGGGAACATAGTTTGTTTTTTTTTTTAAAACCCTTGCCAGACCTATAACTTATATATATATAGGGTCCATTAAAACCCTAATCCTAATTTCCATGACTCATTATATGACGGCCATACCACATAAACCCTAAACTTAATTTATAAACCATATAAGCCATATATAACACACGTCAGTTAAAACCAATTAATCAATCAATTAAATTAAAACAAATAATCAATTACTTTAAAATACCAATTAATCATCCAATTAAATTAAAACAAATAAGCAATTAATTTAACACAAAAACAATGCTAATTAAACATATAGCCAAATACTCACACAAAACACAAATTCCAAATAATAAAATAGAAATGAAAACAAAATTCAAAGAAAATTTAATTTAAATTCCAACTATATCCTTTTAAATATTAGGGGTATTACAGTTATGCACTTTGAGGGCTTTGCTAGAATGTTGAGCAGCGGTTTGGCCTTTGGAAATACCGACTTCACCATCAGAGAAATCTTCATCCAGAGAGGAGAATTGTGGCTAAAATTCTTTTTTGACAATAGCCAGTTCCTGTAAAAGGAGATGTAAGTAAAATCCAGAATGTAGAAAAACTAAGTCTAACCATATTGAAGTACCTTAAAGGTTTTTCCTTTTCTCTTTGCTTTGTATAAAGCATCCTCCTCCTCTTCTAGTATTTCTTCTTCAACTTCTTCTTCCTTTTCTTGTTTGTCACTTGAGGAAAGACTTTCGATACTTACATCACCAGTTTTGGTGACACCTTCAATTTTGCTAGTTATTGCAGTGGTTTTCTCCCCACCTTCATCTTCTTCACTTTCCTCGAGTATTTTTTCCTCTCCATCTAAAATTACCAAATCTCATAATATAGAAGATTAATGGAAGTTAAAGGAAAAGATGAAGAGACAGAATTTATAGTAAAATGTATGTTCACCTGGAGACAAGGGTTTGAAAGACACCAGTATGGAATCAGAGACAGCCTTATGATTTTTTGTCCGGGTAAAGGAAATATAAGCTGACCACCATACATCAAATTCACTGGTTGACCGAGGCTTGCTAGTATGGCCTTGGAAATTAAAAGCTGCTCTTTCCGCTGCATAAGCCTTATCAATTACTACAAATTGGTCAGCATCGGTAAGCCTTACTTGAAGATTAAAGAACCTGTTATAGGACTTATAGGGTGGCAACGGAATCATTTGGGTAATACCCATTTGCCTAGGCAGTTGACCTGGATTGTAAAACTCAACACCGCAAAAGCTATTTTTTAAAATGGGCTGGGCAGTGCTATAATGGAGATCACGGGTGAGAAGACAGCTAGCCCAAATATTTTTCCAATCTTCAGAATATTTTTTGGTAGACACTCCAGGAGATGGAACCAACCATGATGGCATGCGACCAACGGCAGTAAATGGATCAAAGAACCCATCATCACCAGTCTCACATTGATTGTAGAAATATTCGAAGTTTTCAGCAAAGCTGAAAGGAGAAGGATCTGCTGTTGCTAAATAATGGCACAGAAGAGATTTTCTAGTTGGAGTGGCTAGGGGTTAAGTTTTATTTTGGAAATACACTTTAAGCCACATCTGGAATAACCAGAAGGGGACTTGAAACATTGAAAACTTTGAAGCAAGTAGGTCATGTAGACCTCTATATAAGTGAGAGAACACGAGAGGAGCCAGTGCCAAATCTCCATTTTTGGCTAAGGAAACGGCTACTTGAATAAAGTCCTTTGTTACTTGGCCAGATGGAACACATAATAAATGGCCAGAAAGCCAACAGATCAGGAAAGCAATGTGTTCATCTTCTTGAACTGGGCCGGTTTTCTTGCAGTGTTTGATGAAAGAAAGATGGGAGGAGATAAATTTCTTACTTCCAAAGGTTTTGGTAGGGAAAAAGAATTGCTCAATGAAGAGGGTGGCACTTACATCATCTCCATGGGGTTTAAGACCTGTAATGCAACAAATATCTCTCAAAGTAAGGGACATCATTCCACATTTAAGGTGGAGAGAATTGGTGGTTGAAGACCAAAAGAAAAGAGCTGGGAAAAAGGAGATTTGGATCATGCGTAATGGAAGACTTACTAATTTGAATGATGTCAAAGATGCCCTATTTTTTCCATTGAGAGGAAATCTTTTCATCTTTGGAGAGACGAATCACCCAGGAAGACCAAGATGAACGGTATGTTGGCCAAATTTTTATGCTGAGAGAGGGCTTCACTTTTTTTCCTTTCTTTGAAATGAGGGGAAATTCTGAATCAAAGGGGAGAGAAGACTTACCAGAAAGGTAGAATTCGGCCAATTCAGAAGGAGCTACGTTAGTAAAAGCTGGACCCAGTCCAACTGAAGAGTCTTTAAAATGAACCAGAGGCTCAAGATAAAGCCTAGTAGGGTTTAAGGACTTCAATAGTACTTGAACTTGATGGTTATGGCTTCGAGTTTTCTTTTCCTTTAGGGTTTTTTGGGTGGAGAGGAAGAAAGTAGAAGAGAGAAGAATAGGGTTTTTTGTGGTTAAGTGGTGAGGATGGAAGATATATATATAGAAATGATGAGGGAGGTATTAAAGTTCAGATACGTTTTTCTAGGATTGGTAGTTGGGGTTATCGAAATTTAAAAGGGAAGTTTTTTAAAGATTTTGGAAGATAGATGGTTTAGTGCCATAGATGGGTAAGAGTTTTATGGAAACACAGAATGTGCTTTGTTTGGCAGCGGAAAAGAATGGCGCAGAAAAGATCGAAAAACCAGCCGAATAATGCGCAGAAGATTTTATTGGATATAATGATTACGTTGAGTTTCCAAGAGTCCAAGAACGCCTTTTGAGGGTTGATAGCTGGAGAGTTTCAAATTTAAAAAATGGAAATAACAAGGATTGGGAAGTCTGATAGTCTAGTACCATAAATGGATAGGACTCTTGATGGAATATGGAATTAATGGGGTTGTTGCAGAAAAGGCCGAGGGAGCAGCCACGTGTTACATAGGAGCTTTCCTTTTAAGGATTATTTTTTGGTTTTCCATGAATCAAAGAGCATATTTAGAGGGGTTTAGTTGGAATTTTGAAATTCAAAAAAGAAGGAAGTAGTGCGATATTGTGGGATGCATCTTTTTAACTAACGACAAAGGAGATTGGTGTGTAACAGCTGTATGAAACGTTGAAGGTTGAATTATTATGATGGTTATATTGAAGATCAAGTGGGCCGTGATGGCGAAGGTTCAAATCTCATGCCTTGTCATCAAATTGTTCCACAGGGCATGGAATTTGGGGGGCAAATGTTTACTCAATTATTTTTGTTCAATAGAAAGATGACAAATGACGAGTTTTAGCGAGCTTGCCATATTGGATTGATACACTAATTATCCAACAGAGGAAGGTGTGACATGGAATTATTGACCTGGTTTTACCAATACATAAGAGGTACATGGCGAGGTCTAATGGAACTCGCCACGTTGGATCGTAATTCTGGCAAAAAATATTCTTTTGGGACATTGAAACTATGTAGTTTCATTAGAAGAACGATTGGTCAAGATAAATTCCACCACTGGAATTATTGATTAAAAGAAAGTGGTGAGTCTTGGTAGGACTTACCAACTTTGGATTTAATGGCCTAAAAAGTATAAGAAGGTGGCATGGAGTTACTATAATGAGTGCAACCTCATAAGAATATTCGAGTTAAATATCAACCAACCAATGGTTTAACAACATGTGGTGAGTTTTATTAAACTTACCACGGCAGATTAATTCTTTTAAAGTTGATTTTATTGGAAGATCCTATTTTTATGGGATACCAATTAAATGGATATTTTTTCATTTAAAATCAAAATTGACCAAGCCAAGAGAGGAGAACGTGGAGGCTATATTTTCTCCTTCTTTTTAGGAAACTTCAGTGGCTTGTCTAAACCTAGTCAGTCTTCGTTGCTACAATTTTTGCAAGACACGTGGGTTTAATATATTTATATATATATTAAACCCACGATTTAAAAGTTGTTTGTACCCAGAGAGCATGAGGCCATGAAAATAGGTAGGAATGTTTGTTTGAGGAAAGTTGTAGAAAGTTAAGGAAACATGGGAGGATTCAACCCACGATAAAGAAAACCACCGGAGTCCAGGAACCACGATGTCATTGGGAGGAAAGTCTGAAGAAGGTAAGTTACAGGGGTTGAGGATGCTAACCCACGATGAGAAGAACACTGAAATTCAGGGGTTCATGGCGTCGTGGAGTCTAAAGTCGTAAGAAAAGAAGGAGAATGGGTGATAAGTTGTATCGTGGATGTATATATGTGCACATTTATGATGGAAAAACGATTAATTTACACGATTAAGGGGACATGGAGTACGTCAGTTGAAGGTGGTGGTGTCTCATGTAACTACTACCATCGACTGAAGTGGTTGTCGAATAATTTGGATGACAAGGCCACTAAAATCGTGCTTAAAGAAAGGAGAACAAAAGACATGAGGCATGTGTCAGTTTATGGAGAAGACAAGTGGAAGACCACTCTAAAACTACCCACGATATAAGTTCATAGAAGAGAAAAGGAACATGGTTCAAGTAAGATATTAGAAGAAATATATAGCAAGAGATAGGAGGAAAAAGATGGTGGCATAAATAAAAGGAATTGCCAAGCACATGGGACACTTGGTAGTATCAGACCAGGCCAAGTGGAGGTTGCTGAAGTCGCAACATCTCAATTATTGCATACAAGGAGGTCTATAAATAGTGCACTAAGGATTAACTTGCAAGCCCTGCTCAACGCACGCAACACAACTCAAAGGTTTATCAACACAAGCATCTTTGCTTTCATCTCTCATTTCAACAATGAGTTTACACTATGTCTAAACCTAGCACCTTGCTAGTACATGTATTTCCATTCCAGCAATGAATTTACATTCTTTTAAGTTAAGTCAAGCACTTTGCTATATATAGCATTCATTTCAGCAATGAATTCTCATAATGCTTGAGTTAAGTCCAGTACTATTTTGCTACTTCCAGCCTAGCACTGCATTTCCATGTCTCTAATTTCCAGTCATGCACCTCAATTATCCTAATTTCCAGTCTTGCACTTTAAATTGCTTTAATTTTCAGCACTTGCATTTCAATACCGTCTTCATTTCCATTAGCCATAGAATAGTTTGAAGTCCTTGTTCAAAGGCAAAAAAGACCCTTCGAAGGTGGTCATTTCAGACTTTCGTACAATCGTCTGATCCCTACAACTTTCCAACTGGATAACCGTTTAGATTTCTACTTTGGAACTACTGCAGTTCCTGGCACGCCCGCAACTCACTCCTACTTTTCATTCACTTGGAAAGTGGAACCATGGATTTTCACGAGCCGAACAGTTTACTTTGAATGCATTTTAGATTTTTATTTTTTATTTATTTTAATTGACAATACACTGGTCATTTTATTTTTGCGCCACGCCGATGGTAAGTAGAAATTTTCTACTCATATTATCTTGTGTGTGTGTGTGTGTGTGTGTATATTTATATATGATTCTTTTGTTTAATTAAGGAATTCATTGATTTAAGCATTCTCTTAATTTAAGAAATTCCTTGATATTTGGAATCATAATCCCTTGCACGTGGTGAATAATGTCACGAGCTTCTACCAGCGTCAATTTGGCTTTATTAAGTTTTTTGAGTGTAAAAAGCCATGACAGATAATTTTGGTTAAAGATATATATATATATATATATATATATATATATATATATATATATATATATATATTTCCTTGAGGCTCATTTTAGCATTCAACAATAAGTCGACACGATCTTTTATTGAAAAAGGAGTATAAGGTGGTTGCACAAAATTAATAGTTGCTTCAATATGTAGAACCAACAGTATTCATGATAATAAATCATCATCTTCAACAAGTTTCTCACTTTTATCAATAAAATCTGAGATCAAGAGGTCACGCATTTAATTATTTTGTAATTGATTTTTCAATTGAAGAATACGAGTACGAGATTGCGAAGCATGTCACTTTTCTAAAGTTAGACAAACAGCACCAGAAGTACCTAAACGAGCCACTGTTAACAATATTGGGGAGTTGAGAGGTGTTAATTTAACTTGGAATGATTTGATCATGGTGTTGCCATTCTACATAGTTATGGTAGTTGCTTTGCCGCTTAAGTCTTTGTGAACTGTTCGATCTGGACATGATCTTGTTCCTATTGGGAAACGTGCTAGTTTTAAAACTTTTTGAGGGATTTTGATTCATAGATCTTGATTCATCACATAGAGACAAGTTTTATACAAAAATAAAATATGATGTTTCATTTAATAAAACTAGATTGAATACTTACATCAAAGGTTTGAGTAAACCTTTAAATCTTTCTTCTAAAGTGAATGTTCTCACTTATTGTAGATCCCTTAGCAAGATGCCTTCTCCTTCGATCTCCATCTTTTTGGTAATTGTTTTGCCTTTAGGAATCACTCATAAGCCTCCATGAATGACCTTGGAAAACTAGGCTTGTGGGAACCTCCATTAGATGAGAACATAAACCCTAATTTTCTAAAGAGAGAAAATATATTCCTTTTTTCTTCTACTAAAAATCACCCTTAAAATATACATAGACCATGTATATTTATAGGCAACATAAAGGTAAAGAAAAGGAAATAACTAATCCTTCTCAATCTCTAATTCACATGTCTCAAATCTAATATGATTCCAATATCAAGTTGGGTTATGAGTGAGAATCCTTTGAGCTTATTATTTTATTGGCTACAATGAATTAATAATTAGCCCGGTCCATGGACCCAATTTAATCAATTCATAAATTAATTTCTACTCCACTAAAAGAAATTAATTGAACTCCAATTAAATAATAAATAACCTCTAAGTCAATATTGCACTTTGATCCCTCTATACATAATTAGTTATCGGATAAATAAAGCCATCAATCCGACTACTTAATTAATATATTTATTTTGGTACCATTGATTATTTCTGACTCGATCACAATAAAACATTTGTTTGACAAAAATAATAATTTAAATAAATAAATATATAATAAATCATTTTGTCTAAAAACATACGAAGCTCTTCGAATTTACTTGTGATCAACCATAATCAATACAAAATAAATACAAGTAGCAATGATGCAAATATTGAAAATATGATCCTCTAACTATTAATTACATAACTACCCAAAGTGTCGGTCTAAAGATCCCGAAGAATCCGCCGAGCAAATCAAAGTAATTATTAATTAATAAAAGAGTCTATAATTTTCTCATGCTTAAGAGTCAAATGCCATGACGGTGATAGGAAGTAATTGCATATGACGGCTCTCGCAATATATCTCAACCTAACGCGGATCCAGTTCAAGTCTTAATTAATTATGAGCCCATCCATAATTACCAACTATGAACCATTTATGATTACTATTTATATTCATGTATTGATCGCCATCACATACATATATAAATATCTCTTGTAATCAAGTGGATACTATCAATTCTATAATGAATCGAAACATAATACATTGAATTCACCAATTGTATAAAACCTAAATATTTCAGAAACGTCAGGAACTTATGTCACTTTAATCTAAATAATTTGCTATGCCAGGGCATATAAATCACAATAGTTCCATCAACAGAACCAATCAAATTCTTGCTCCGAAGAACGGGTAGAAATTGAGCTGGCTAAAGTTCATAGTTATTGCAATCAAGTTGGATGGAAATCATGTGTGACAGGTTTGGTACTACGACCCTACCTGACTTTTGAACAGATTTTATCGTGCAGAAGGAATCACAATTAACAAGTAATTAAGAGCCAGAGAAAATGGAGGTCATACAATTTATGGCTCTGATATCATGAAAGATAATCTTAGTAAGAGCTTCAAACTCACATCCCTCTTTCATTACTTTGAACATGTATTTTATACAAGCTTACATGAGCAATAATTAAACGTTTGGTGTGTAGGAATGAAATAGAATGCAAGTGAGAATGGAATGGAATGGTCATTCTCATTCTATTGTTTGGTTGCAAATATGAAATCTATAAGAATGGACTAATGTAAAATTTAGAAAGTAATGAATTTTAAATTGAATTCTTCAAAATACCCCTGTTAGTCACAAATAATTTTAATTGACAAAATAACATTAAGAAATGGTGGCGATGGTTGATGGTGGTGGCGATGGAGGTGGAGGTCGCGGTGGTGGTAACGGTGGAAGGCACCGGTATGTGGTGTAGGTGATGACGGTGGAAGGTAGTGGCGGTGGTGGTGGAAGACGACAGTGGTGTAGGTGGTGGTGGAAGGCAGTGAAGGTGACAGTGGTGGTGGAAGATGGCAGTGGATGTGGTGGTGGAGGTGGCGACGGTTGTGGAAGGTGGTGGTGGTAATGGAAGTCGATGGTGGTAGTGGTGGAGGTGGAGGTGACGGCGGTAGAGGTGGAAGGTGGTGGTGGTGATTAAAGTCAGTGGCAGTGGCGGTGGAGGTGACGACGGCAGCGGTGGTAGGTGGCGGTGGTGATTAAAGTCAGTGGCGGTGGCGGTGGAGGTGACTACGGCAGCGATGGAAGGTGGCGGTGGTGATGGAAGTCGGTGTCAGTAGAAGTAGAGGTGGCGGCGCTAGTAGTGAAGGTGATGGTGGTGGTGATGAGAGTCGATGACGGCAGTGGTGGAGGAGGCATTAGTGGTAGAGGTAGAGGTGGAGGTGGCGGCGTCGGTGGTGGTGGTGATGGAAGTCTATTGCGGTGGAGGTGGAGATGCCAATGGCGGTAGTGGAGAGGGGTGGTGGTGATGGAAGTTGGTGGCAGTGGCGATGGAGGTGCTGGTAGAGGTGGAGGCGGCAGTGGTAGAAGGTAGTAGTGGTGATGGAAGTCAGTGGCGGTAGTGGTAGAGGTGGTGGTGGAAGGTAGTGGAGGAGGCGACAGCGTGATGGTGGTGGAAGGCAGCTACGGTGGTGGCGGTGATAGTGACGGTGGTGGAAGTGGTGGAAGGCGACAACAGTGGTGGTAATAATGACGGTGGTGGTGGTGGTAATAATGACGGTGGTGGTGGTGGTGGTGGTGGCAATGACGGTGGTGGAAGGCAGTGGAGGTGGCGGTGGTTGAAAGTGGTAATGGTGGAAGGCGGTGGAAATGATGGAAGTCGCTGGTGGTGGTGGTGGCCATAGTAGAGGTGGCGGTGGCTAAATGTAGTGGACGTGGCGATGGTGTGTTGGTTGGAGGTGACGGTGGTGTGTTGGTTGAAGGTGGCAATAATGGTGGCAGTGGTAGTGACGGTGGTGGAAGGTAATGTAGGTGGTGGTGATTGTGAAAATCGACGGTGGTTGTGGTGAAAGGTGGTGATGGTTTTTGGACTTAGAGCATTTGTGTGTTTTTGAGAACTTGATTTTTTAAAAAATATGACTTGAGGATGGAATGGCCGTTCCATAGGTTTAGTTGTGGAATGGATTTTCATTTATATGAATGGATTTTCATTCCAAAGGAATGGCCATTCCCACTTTAAATTGCACACCAAACAAAGAAATGATTCGAATTGACATTTCATTCTATTCTTGCACATCAAAAATAGCATAAGAGATTATGATTCCAAATGTCAATAAATTCCTTCAATAAACAAAATAATCATATACATATATATACAAGATCAGGGGTGGAGATAGGGGTGCGCTATGGGCAATGGGCCCCCAAAGTTTTTCAAAATTTTTTATAGTACCCCCCAAAAATATTTAATTCATAAAAAATACTTAACTTATGGTCCTAAAATTCATTGAAAATTTCAATTGATCCCCGTCGATATTTTTTTTTACAAAACACATACAAGTTCCAAAATAGAGAGTATAACAATAAATTTGACTTGTGTACTTTGAAACTTATAGAAAAATTTAAATTTAGACCATTTTAACCACACTCTTAGAAACACAAATCTTGTGAAACAAAATTTAGGTTCATTTAAATTTAGACCATTTTAACCACTCTTGGAAACACAAATCTTGTGAAACAAAATTTAGGTTCATTCTTATTGTAATTTTTTCCAAAAAAAATATATACTAATACTTTTGTCACTTGTTAAATGACAATTTATATGACTACTATTTGTATTCATAGTTTTCATTCTATTATGACGTGTGAGAGTGTTGTAATTGGTCGAAGCAGGGGTGCTTGTGGACAGGGGGAGTGCTGAGTGCATCCTATAGTGAGTTTAGATGCGTGCAGAGAGTGAAACAGTTGTGTGTACTCTTGCAACATTCATGTGTGTGTACTCTTGCAACATTCGTAGTGGAAGAAGGCTGAGGTTCCATAACTCCAAAGTTTTTTAACACCTCATTGAGGTTTTTCCTTGTAAAACAAATTTGGTGTTGTGGACTGTGTTAGTGGCATTTTATCAAATAGTGTTCTACAATCAGGGTTTTCTAGCAGCCAAGACAGTATTATAGAATGTGGTCATTATCTTAGCTCAAGCAAAGTCATATAAGTTCTCAGTAACAAGGAAATAAATTAAACAAACCAAATTACCCCTGCCCCTCTTGGTTTATAATATATGTGTGTTTTAATTAGTTGGATTTGTGGGCTTTTCTTCATTCTTTTTTTCTAATATTATTGTTCTTTTGTACAAAATAATAACTACTGAACAAAAAAAAAAAAAAAAAATCATTACTAATCGATATTGTCTTTGTATTTATTATTAATTTTTGGAAATTTTTGTCCTACTATGGTCGAAAATTCCTTCACTAGTTTAAATTCTTGCTCACGTGTTTTTAAAACTCTACTAAACAAATAGGGTGAAGATTATGTTCACACTTTCACACTAATCAAGGCCAACAATAAAACAGAAAGGAATTACACTTCACGTGCATTTCTGTCGTTATTTCAATAATTAAATTGCATTGACAAGAATGTGTGGTATTGTACTAGCCAAAAGGTTAATTAAACAATGTGTGGACTAGCCAACAATGGTGTGAAATTTACAAGGTCAAGAATGTGTAGTAGCCAACAATGGTGTGACATTTGTAAGCTTCATGTGAATCATGTGTGTATATTAAACAACAATTAACATTCTCAAAATTAAATAATCAAAACTATTTTGACGAGAAGCACTACCTACTTGCCGTCCACCACTGAGTTTGATCAATTACGAAAATACCCTTCTTAGATCACCATGATTTGACGTTTCCCAAACCTGAAGATTTAGGGGTAGTTTTCGAATTGCCATTGATTAGTGGGCCACATGAAAAATCATTCGTCGACTTTACGCATCAACAATGGACCGATCAAGGGCCCGTTTAAATTATGAGCTCTAGAAGATTCCGGTGGTGCTAATTTAAAATTACCAGAACACCCTTGTTAATAAAATTTTCATTTCATATATATATATATATATATATTTTTTTTTTCACAATTTGTCTCAATTATTGGAACAAATTTTTTCTTCTTTGCACTTTGTAGTTCTTTTTCATTTGAATAATTCCTCACTGTGAAGTTTTTGAGAAAAGAACAATAAGTTTTAAATATTAAATTGTCTTTTAAGTAAAAATATAAATGTAGACAGGGCCGGAGCCGATTTGAATTCAGGGGGCGGTGGGAATTTTTATTTTTATTTAAAAAAAAAAAATAAGAATAAGAAGAAGAAGAAGGAAAAGAAAAAAGAAAATAAAAATGAATTTTAAAACAAACAAATCAGAGCGCGATTAAATAAGGAGAATTTAACCTTTTTAAAAAGGTAATTTGGGCTCCTCTGCAACTCTTGGACCTCTCACCGTACACCTCCTCAATCTCGGCCCTCTCTGTACCTCCTCTGCTCACATTCTTTGATTCTCTAATTTCTCTCTTCTTTGTCCTCAAACTCTCTCTGTGTCTCTCTTTGAGTCTGTAAATTCACCTGGTGCATAACACATACTATATAAGCAATTGTCCACCGACCGAACAACTCTCACCACAAATATTTTTTCAAAAAGCAATTGGGTCCCGCCACATCATCTCTTTATTCACACTCAGAGCACGCAACCACAAAATACATAAGACCAAAAACAAACAAGGCCGTGAAGAAAGCCAAACAAAAACCGCTTTCTTTTTTTTCTTTTTACCTCGCGAGTCCCGCCACATCATAAAAAAAAAAAATTCAACTTTTCTTCTCTCAATTAGGCAGGTAGCATTACCTCTGATATATATATATATATATATACACACACATATATAATATAGATACAAAACATCAAACCACCTTTCTTTCCATATCTCTTTTCTTTCCATATCTTTTTTTTTTCATCATCTTCCTGATCACCAAACAAAACCCACGTGACCAACCCACTCCATTCCACTTTCGGCTGACACCTGCTTCCTCATCTGACAATGTTCATATATATATATATATATATATATATATATATAATTATACAAATGACTTCCTTCCATTGCACAGCATACTCGTCAATTTACAAATATCACAAATCAAAGACCCAATATCACTAATCACCAATTTTAACAATTAAAAATTATAAAAATAAATATTAAAATCTTAAAAAGTCGAATTCTCACAATTTAAAACACACTCTTGATTAGCTGAAAATTTCTGAAGCCAAAGATTAGAAACGTCTAGTAACAAAAATGGTCCTAACACCCACGTAGATGGTACAAGTTCCTCAAGATAAGAAACAATCAACTCATTTAGAATAGTGAATTTTATCAATCTTGCCGAACTTTTGATCTCTTCTATTCTCCCATATAAAAATACATTTAACCATGAAAGCCTTGAAAGGTAAAGATAAAAAGATATAATGTTGTTAAAAATATGAATTTTCTACCATATGTATAATCAGAACATTTTTTTAATGACAAGACTTACTTATTCATTACTAAGTCAGTTATTTCTACTTATCGTTGATGTACCTAACTCTGCTACGAGTCCGTATTCAGTAACCTAAGCCAGTAAAGAAGAGTAGGAGTTGTATGGCAACCATTATTTTTAAGATTCAGAGATAGGTTCGGGAATTAGGATAGATATTTTGACATAAATCTATCAAAGGTGATAGCGAAAGCCACTTTTGGCTATGGTTTGTCGATACGCTTCATTCATAAAGTTTGAAGAAAGAAAATATTAAAATATTAAATTTTTTTTATTACAAATACACAAATAATTCATAATTATAATTTTTTTTTTGAAATAAATTTAGTCACTTTAATATCTTTATTTATTAATTTTTAAATTTTGTAATTATAAATTATTTATGTATTTATGATTAGACTACTTTAAAAATTCACCTACTCACCCAATGAGTAAACGAGTTTTATCATTTATTTAATTCTCCTTTTAATGTAAATAGACAAGTTTTATCATTTATTTAATTTTCTTTCTATTGTAAATACCATATTTAATTATCTAACATTATTAACCTTCATTTAAAAACTCTTCTGAGCGGTTTAGAGTACGTATTAATTTATGACACATTGCTAACATTTATGATTTCTTTTTCTTATTTTAGTCGGAGAGAAGGCTTTAAAACAGGTCAAAAAGAAATTAATAAATCATTTATACTTTTCATTGTTTTAGGATTATTACATTACTTAATTTAATAATAATACCATGATATAGAATTCCATCACTTTTTCCTTTCATTTAAAAACAAACAAAAGCGACGCACACGGGCATGCATTACGATGTTGCTATTAAATGTTGCCCCCATATATTTTACAAAATTTGAATACTTACTTTATTGATTTGAAAAGATTTTAAAACTTATTAGGACGGTTCAGAGGAGTTGAAACTCTTGGAATATAAAAAAGTGCCGACTTATTTTAAAACATTCTAAAAAAGAAAACATTGACACTTGCTATGTGATGCCGTATATAAAATTGTCATCATTATCTTTTAGTCTAGATGAATGTAATTCAAAATACTAGCCCAAATAATCTTTTGATATTTCATATATAGAGTAGATTAAAAAGTTTCCTTCATTTGAATTTTGAGCAAATTTATCACTAGCATTTAGGTTGTACCTTTTGGGAAAAAAAAAAAAAAAACATTTGAATAGGTGCAAACAATTTTTTTGAATTCAAGGCCATAGATATAATTTAAGGTTTACCTTATTTATGTGCAAGGGCGAATTTAGGAATTGTTAATAGGGCTAATATTAAATAAGGAGAAATTAAGGATCGAAAGATTAAAGAATTGAGAAATTTTTAAAAAAATAGGATTAGTTTTGAGAGAGAGAGATGGAGTAAACTCTTTAATTTGTGCAAGATTAGGAATTTAGGAGTTCTCTATATTTTGGCTTAGTGATTGTTGTGGTTTAGATATTGAGTTTGTTTGAATGAGTTAAAATTAGAGGGTTAATACTATTATTAATTTTTTCTTTTTTTAAATATTGAGCTACCTGTAAATCTTGGCAATATTTTGAACACTCCAATTCTCACCATATATATATATATATATATATATATATATATATATATATCAATTCAGCGTAAAAAGTGTAGCTCTATTTGATAAAGTTGCGCTCCCAACAATTGATATGAATGCCCAACCACTTTCACATCAAAACTTCCAAAGTTCAATTGGGTTTGACATGCACTGATGCACACATATACTTTTATAGTTATATATATATATATGTTTTTTGAGAAGAACTTGAGTAATAAATGCAATAAAGGCATAGACTAAGGGGCAATAAAGTAATTTAGCCACTATATATGGTGAAGCTATTCTTCATCAAACGGTAACCACATTCCAAGTCTCCAAAAACTTCTGTTCCATTACCGACAATACCAATGGCAGCTGATCAAGAACAAGTGCTGAAGCTCTTTGATTATTACTGGTTCGAATTCGAAATCTTTACTATAAAACCACCACTTTCAATCCCAGACTCAAACCCGATTCTCCAAATTCACGAAGAGCCTGAAAAGCCAAAGCTCTCTCGCATCCAAACCCTCCACGTTCGATCTCTCAGTGACCAGTACTGTTTGAGCTCCCATGACAGCTTCAGCTCAGGCTCTCTCTCTCCAAACTCGGTCCTCACGCTGAAGCTCCAAACGATACATTCCGGGAAAGAAGTCGAAGAATTCTTCAACCCTGTTGCCAAACAAGAAGAGATTGAGGTACCCATTAAGAAGATATCAGTGAATGATAGAAGAAGAAGAAGAAGAAGAAAAAAGGGTGTTAGTAAGAGCTTGTCAGAACTCGAGTTTGAGGAGCTAAAAGGGTTCATGGATTTGGGTTTCGTGTTCTCTGAAGAAGACAAAGATTCAAATTTGGTTTCCATCATTCCCGGGTTGCAGAGATTGGGGAGAAAAGTTGATCATAGTGGTGGTGGTGGTGGTGGTGGTGGTGATGAAGAAGAAGAAGAAACTGGAAGGGCCATTGATGAATCTGCAGTTTCAAGACCCTATCTTTCTGAGGCATGGGATGAAATGGATGACTTGGACCAAAGAAAGCTAGAGAAACCTCTGATGAATTGGGTCATTCCAGATCTCAGAAATGAAATGGACATGAAAGATCATCTTAGGTTTTGGGCTCATACTGTTGCATCTACATTAAGATAAATGACATCATCTTAGTAGAATTTATTTTTGTTTTCTATTATTAACTTGTATGACCCATTTTTGTTTTAGGTTGAGTTCTGCATTTTTCTTAGGCCAATTCAGTCTTGTGGTTTCCGTCCATAAATTTGTAATCTGTGAATAAAGAATTAATGGCCTTGAAATTTAATTAATTAAACCTGCTGGTACTATTTAGTAATCAACAGTGATGTTTATGGTCTAATTTGTACATCATGATTCATGACCTCTAAAAGTAGGTTAGGCGTCGGATATCACTCTTATTGCTTATTAAAAATATAAAACCTATCAAATCTGATTAATACTTTTATTTATTTATTGATAGTCATTGAATAAAGGAGGACATTTCACATTTTCAAGTATCAATTTGTAGGACATAAAAATAGCCTTTTAAAGTTTTATTTCAATAATAAATGATCATATTTTTATTCGTTATATACCCCTTTCTTTGTTCAATTCTATCAAATTCTAATTTGAACTTAATAAATAAATAAACAGATATGTAATATCTTCCATTAATGGAACATAGGACTGGAAACCACTGATTTTTCACTGTATCAGAATGAAATAAGATTTGAACTTCTTAAATACTTAGTGGGAATCTCAAGCCTAAGCACAATGAAGCATTAGCAATGATCAATTCAACTTTGGGAAGGATCTAAATAGTATCAAGAAAATGGTTTGGCCTAATTTTAAAGTAAAGGTCTGGTCCATATAGGATTATGTTTGTTGAAGTTGAAGACACTTTTGAAAGTCGTGATCATTGCCACAATTCTAGCCTTAATCCCTTATTAACGGCAACATTATTTTCTCTTTCTCTTTGTCCTTTTCTTTTTTTATTTTTTATTACAAGTCATGTCATTTCTAATATTTAATTTTTAAAATTATTTCTAAATAACTTTATTTTACAATAATTTTGGTCATCCTCTTTGCCTCTTACCTTTAATGTAAACTGTTCTATTTCTTTTTAGCGTCACGTTTATAAGTGTTTGTTATATATTCCGATACCATCTAAGTCTACTCTCATTTTCATAAAATGACAATCACTCTTTTTTCTCTCTCTCTCACACTCGGTAGTAATCCTATCTATTGTACTCACTCCAAACATCCATCTTAAGTAAATCTTCATTCTATTTCATGAACATGTTGCACAGAGGTAGCACTCTTATGCAAACAATTACTAAAAACACGCGTGTACCTTTTTTGAGGAGACTATTTTGATGACCTGGTTTGCACAAAAAATAGTATATACGTGCACAAGAGTAGCACTTTTGTACACAAAGTGGTACTTACATGTACAAAAGTGTTACGTACATGCTCAAAAGTGATACTTGAAATTAGTAAGTGTAGTTTCTATAAATGACAATGTTTTTTTATATTCACGTTAAACTTTCAAAAAATTCAATGACTTTGAAAATAGTTGACTTTGACTCCATGAATTTGAAAGTTTGTCTCTAAAACTTCATGCTTTTATAATTATCCCTAAATATTTTAAGTAATCAATAGAATTATGTCTTATACTACATAAGGCTGGTTAAATTTGGAATATGAAGGGCTTCTTCATGGGAATATGAAAGGCTTGATAAATCAAATGGAGTGCGTATGCTTGTGAAGAGAAAGAGGGGGAGGGGGATGCTTAGATAAGGTTCTAAAGTACCTCATTTTTTTATTTTTTTTTTCCTGACAAGAAACTAGCTCACACCTATTTATTTTTATGAAGACTTGAATCTTTCATTTTATGAGGTAGAGGAGATTGTCATGCCCAAAATTTTCCCTTCGTAAACCCACTTGAGCTTTATCCCCCATATGGAGGCCAGCTGTCGTGTAACGGAAAAAATCATGAGCCTATTTTTGCGGCGAGGTGCCTACAGACTTGAGATTTTTGGATATGGGGTTAATGTGAAAAGAAGACCAAATGAGAGATTTTATGGAGTCATCACCTAACATTGAGTTTTGGCATATTTGTACAAACTTATTTAGAAAGCCATATACGCATGCTTAAAACACAAAATAATAATTAACAGCGAATAACGATAAATACTTGCAGAAGCCATTACGCAATGTGTGGCAAGAAAGCAGAACAACCAGTAAGAAGTAAAACAATGAACAAGATCCAAAAGATCTACAAATGAACGTTTTGCATGATCTTCCACCTTATGCACTAAACTCACGAGTCTATTCAATGGGGCAAGACTAACCAAATGTAAGCACACCATGTGAGAGTGAGGACTAAACAATAAATATAAAATATATTATAAAATCCCTCTCATCAAGGGATCTTTATCAGATCACAACAAACCCAATGTACCGCGGGTTATGTTTAGCGCATTATAGGTAACCGTATATAATGCTAATATTTATTATATACATTTATATCCTTATCCATATCTCATAACGCATGATTATATATGACTAAGGTATACCATAACCCAATAATTTATAATCACCTCAATAGGGTATCCGGTAATCATATATATGATCTCAATCATGAATCCGGGTTTTCATAACGTTCATCAATAGAAGCCTAAAAGTTCTTACATTCTCCCACTTGCCTATTCGCACTGATTTCACTTCGAACAGTTTGCGAGACTTTACATTACAGAGATTGTGAAATTACATAGCATACTGTTATCCATTATATCTGATAAGGATTCGAGCTTTATGTTAGGATTCTGGAAGAGTTTTTAGCATGCTTTGGGTACAGAGTTGCATCTTAGCACTGCTTATCATCCTCAGACTGATGGACAAACCGAGAGAGTTAATAAAAATATGCTTCGTTCTTGTGTCCTCGACTTTAAGGGCCACTGGGAGGATTATTTGTCACTCATGGAGTTTGCATATAATAATAGCTTTCAGAAGACTATTGGTATGGCATCGTTTGAGGCATTATATAGCCGACCATGTAGATCTCCTGTTTGTTGGATGGAGGCTGGCGAGAGCAGATTTTTGGGTTCTGAGTTTATTAAGAATACCTCTGAGAAGATCGCTCTTATTAGGGATCTTATGTGCACTGCCTAGAGTAGGGAGAAGAGTTATGTAGATTGTTGTACTCGTGCATTAGATTTTCAGGTTGGAGATCATGTTCCACTCGAAGTGTCTCTAATGAAGGGAGTAATGCGCTTTGGGAAGAAAGGGAAGTTGTCACCATGTTTTGTCGGTCCTTTTATGATTACGGATCGAGTTAGAGCTGTAGCTTATCGGTTAGCACTTCTAGACCATTTACATTGTGTCCACAATGTCTTTCATGTTTCCATGTTGCAGAAATTTCTGCGAGATGAGGATCGTTATCAGCATATTGATGTTGGTGAGATTGAGTTTTAGCCGGATGCAATATATGTGGAACCATCGTGTCGTATTATAGACCATAGAGATCAGATTCTTCGTAACAAGGTCATACCACTTGTGCGTGTCTAGTGGAGCCATCATAATGAGGCAAAGTCTATTTGGGAACGGGAGGATATAATTCGCTCATAGTTTTCAGAAATTATGGAATAAGGTAATGGCGAATTTCGAGGACGGAATTCTTTTTTGTTAGGGAGGGTGGGTAATTTTAAAAAGACAGTCTCGGGATTTATTTAATTATTTTATTGCATTTTTATTTTATTATTTGATTACGTGACTAATTGTTTATGAGTTTTAATTGAATTATTTGTTTAAATTGATTGTGTGCTTAAATGGGGTATTTTAATTTAATATATTTGTATGATTTTACTTGCTTATATGATGTGTAGTTATTTGTATTTTAATTGTCAGGAGTAAATGAATTAAATGTTCATTTTATTTTATTTTAAAAAGTGATGGATTTATATAGTAGTAATGGATCAATCAATTGGGTTGCATGGATTACTTCGATAGGAGTCTTTATGGGTATGGATATTTACCCATAGATAATTGTATATATATATATACTGACTAATCCTAATATTAATTATACTATTACTATTAATAATACAAATAATAATAATAATAATAATAATAAAACTATCCTTATATACATATATACCCATATATCTATATATATGTATATATATATGTTATCACGTTAACTGAGCTATACATATATGTATATAGTTATATGTTATCACGTTAACTGAGCTATACATATATGTATAGCTCAGTTAACGTGATAACATATAACTATATACATATATGTATAGCTCAGTTAACGTGATAACATATATATATATATATATATATATATATATATATATATATATATGTATAGCTCAGTTAACGTGATAACATATAACTATATACATATATGTATAGCTCAGTTAACGTGATAACATATATATCTATATATATGTATATAGTTATATGTTATCACGTTAACTGAGCTATACATATATGTATAGCTCAGTTAACGTGATAACATATAACTATATACATATATGTATAGCTCAGTTAACGTGATAACATATAACTATATACATATATGTATAGCTCAGTTAACGTGATAACATATAACTATATACATATATGTATAGCTCAGTTAACGTGATAACATATATATATACATATATATAGATATATGGGTATATATGTATATAAGGATAGTTTTATTATTATTATTATTTGTATTATTAATAGTAATAGTATAATTAATATTAGGATTAGTCAGTATATATATATATATATATATATATATATATATATATATATGTTATCACGTTAACTGAGCTATACATATATGTATATAGTTATATGTTATCACGTTAACTGAGCTATACATATATGTATAGCTCAGTTAACGTGATAACATATAACTATATACATATATGTATAGCTCAGTTAACGTGATAACATATAACTATATACATATATGTATAGCTCAGTTAACGTGATAACATATATATATATGGATATATATATATGTTATCATGTTAACTGAGCTATACATATATATATATATATATATATATATATATATATATATGTTATCACGTTAACTGAGCTATACATATAGTTTATATTTTTCTATTTTTATTCTTTTCCTGTTTCTTTTCTTATTCATTAAGGAAATTAGATTTGGGAAGGGATTAGGATTTAGTGTGTGTATATATATATATATATTAGCATTGGGTCTGCCAAAGGGTTACAAAACCCTATTCACGTATTAGAGGAGGGAAAGAGTTTAGAGAGAAACTAAGAGAGGAAGAATGAGGATTGTCTAAAAAAGCTAGGCTAAACCAAGGAGAGAAGGAAGGAGGTTGCTCGTGGGTTAAGACTGAGCAGCAGAGAGTTTCGAAAGCAACCCAAGGGTCGCCGGAAAAGCAAAGAAGAAGAAAAAGAGAAGGTTTTCAATCCGAACCTTAA